AAAAAAAAAAAAGTCACCAATTCAGTAATGAAATCACGGCATAAAAAGAAATCATTTGTGGTATCAAAAATGTACAAGAGGAGGAGGAAAAGGATGAGACTTTGAACAGGTAAATAAAGATAAACTGCTATCAGCAGAAAGGGAACTGTGTTATCTAGGAGATGTTTCATGTAAACCTCACAGTAACCATAAAGCAAAAATCTAGAGCAAAGACATGAAACACGGAAAAATGCACAGACTCAGCAAATCACAACGGAAAACCGCCAACTTACAAAGGTGGACAGAAACAAGGATACCAGATAAGGGGTTAATACCCAAAATACATAAAGAACTCAGACAACTTAGTAACAACAACAGCAGCAACAACAACAATCCAATTAAAATATGGCCAGAAGTAAGCAGACATTTTTCCAAAGAAGACATCCAGATGGCCAACAGACACATGAAAACCTCTCAACATCCCTCATCATCAGGGAAATGCCAATGCAAACCGCAACGACACGTCACCTCATCCTGTCAGAACTGACTAGCATCCAAAAGACAAGAGATAAAAATGCTGGCAAGGATGTGGTGAAAAAAACAAACCCAAACTCAAACCCAAACCCTTGTTCCCTGTAGTGGGAATGAGAATTGGTCCAACCACTATGGAAAACAATATAGAGCATGTTCAAAAAATTTAAAATAGAACTATGAAATGAACGAATAATTCCACGTCTGGGAATATACCCAATTGAAACAAAAACAGGATTTCAACGAGATCTCTGCACACCCTCGCTTATCGAAGCATTATTCACGAGAGCCAAGATACAGAAACAACCGCGATGCCCACCAGCTGATGAATGGGTAAAAAGATACAGTCCCGGGGTGCCCGGCTGCCTCAGTCCCTGCGGCGTGCGACTCCTGACCTCGGGGTTATGGGTTCCAGTCCCAGGCTGGGGATTACTTGAAAATAAAATCTTAAAAAAAAAAAATGGTAATACATATACACAACGTAATATTACAGGTAAATATCCCGCCACTCACAACAACGTGGACGGACCCTGAGCGCCCTGTGCTAAGCTGGGTAAGTCGGACGGAAAGACAGGTGCTGTGTGCTATCGTTCCCATGTGGAATCTGAGGAAGTCAAACCCGTAAAACGACAGAGGAAAGGGTGATGAGCAGGGCATGGAGGGATTAGATAACGTTTTTCAGGGCACAAAACTGTAACGAGTAGTAAAGAAACCACGGAGACCCAAGGCACGGCATAATGAATACAGACGATGATATTACACTGTAATCACACGGCGGGACCATGTCGCTGCCGCAGTCGTGTTGCATCAAAACAACAGGTGCACACCGTAACCCAACACAGCGTTACACACGAAACTCACGCAGGAATGCGAAATGTCCGGCGCGCCCTCCCTGAAGACTGGAAGGCATTAAACTGGTTACACTAAGGGAAAGCTCTGGGGAGAAAAGACCCCCTTGCGTATTCGGGGCGCCCTGTGAGATGCCACACCCAAAGCACCTGAACCTCAGGAACGCCCCGCCCCCCCCCCCCCGCTTTCCTCGGCGAGGCGGAGGCGGGGGTCCAGCGCAGGCGGGTCTACCGGGCGCACCCCAGGGCGCGGGGAGCGCTCCCCAGGGCCGGCTGAGCGGCGTCCTCCCGGGAACGCCCGCGCACCTGGCCACGCCGGGGAGCTCGCGGCCGCTACTCACCTGCCCGGGACGCCGCTCCCCCACGCGGGACGCGACAGGCCGGGTTCCCGCCGCCCGGGAGCGCGCTCTCAGGCCGCCGCCAGCGCAGACGCGCAGGACGCCGGGGCGCACGCGGCGCGCACGCTGGAACGACCGGCGGAGGGGCGGAGGGCCGAGCCCCACCCTCTGCGGCCCGGGGCGCAGGTTGGGAGCGCGCGGGGCGCAGGTGCCCTTTCCCGGTCCCGCGACCGGTGCCTGGACTGAGCAACGGTGCCCTGTGCATCCGCGGGGATGCCGAACTGCCACAGACTCTGCCCTGTGAGAGTCCCCAGCACGTCCTCCGGCGGGAGCCCCGCTCGGAGGGACAAATCTGCGTCTCTCCCCAGCCCACCTCGGGAACAGGGTTGGGCCCGCACGGGCCGCTGGGACTTGTAGTCCCCAGGACGCGGCCGACAAGGGCGGTAGTCCCCAGGACGCGGGCCTACAAGGCCGACCGCCCTTCAGGCGGACAGTAGGGCTGGGGACCGCTCCGTTTTACAGTGTGGGAGAGCGCGGTGCTTCCCTTGCGTCAGGTCCGGGTCTGTATTACTGACTGAGTGCCTGCTGTATGCTGAACGCCTTAGCTGGACTTGCGGGAGGGTCGGTGAGCTCGTGGGCACTTTAGTTTAAGCAGGAAGATGAACTTGCAAGGAAGAAGGTCAGGAACAAAAATGACAAATTCCAAGTGCTGTTGGAAATCACGCAAGGGCCAGAGACGGGGTAAAAAAAAACTTCCCGGAGGTTGTGCGGTTCCAATCAGGTTTTGAAATGTTGGATGATTGGGCACCTGGGTGGGTCCGTTGGTTAAGCCTCTGCCTTTGGCCCAGGTCATGATCCCTGGGTCCTGGGATGGAGCGCAGTGTCAGGCTCCCTGCTCAGCAGGGGAGTCGCTTTGTCCCTCCCCCTCTGATCTCTCTCAAATAAATAAAATCTTTAAAAAAAAATGCGGAATGTTCTAGATGAAGGGAGGGTGGCAAGGAGTAGAAAGGAGCGTGGCCTGGCTGTAATGAGAGGTTCATGACAGACAATGCTGAGCAAGGCTTAGGTGGGGATGTGGTCACCAGTGTCTTTGGCTCTCTCTTTCAGAAAGGCCCTCCGAGGGACACCTGCGTGGCTCAGTCAGTTAAGCGTCTGCCTTCAGCTCAGGTCATGGTCCTAGGGTCCCGGGATCGAGTCCCACATTGGGCTCCTTGCTCAGCAGAGAGTCTGATTCTCCCTCTGTCCCTGCTCTGCTTGTGCTCTCTCTCTCTAACAAATAAGTAAAAATCCTTTAAAAAGGTAAGAAAAGAAAAAGAAAGAATATCAGTTTTGAGTTTCCCTCCAAGGGAGACTATTAGTACAGACAGGGAGATGCATCTTCAGGCTTAAATGAAAGAGAACATCTCACTGCTAGTTTCCAGTTTCTGGACCTTGAGTTGCTCTAAGACTCGATACATGTATACAAATCGATCATTAACTTGTAAGTAGCAAAATAGGATTGAGTTGTGTCTGTGCTAGATATAAGCCTTCAAAAGATGCTTCCATTTTTGTAACTGTTTTGGCATTTATTCAGTTTTCATATACCAGAAGTCTCAAGGGAAGAGAACCCCAATCTTTCTTGACCTAAAGGAGCGTGTGTGCTTTGGGGCTTGGTCCTGGGAGCAAGGGATGATTTATGAGAGCAGTTTTGATGTCCTGCAATGTCTTAGACATAAACCCACGGTTCAGAAAATCCTTTTCGAGGCCACTTGTTTTTATCTTCTGATTTCCGAAACCAAGATCACACTTAAGTAAAAGATATTTATTCTCAGGTTTCTCTGATAATGGAACACCAAGAAATCATGATGCTTTTACTTTTACTAAAACACCGTGGAATGCTGTATCGCAGTTAATTAGTGTGGATGGAGTTTTTTTGGTTAAAGTCCACATTTTCCATATCCTGGTTCCAGGAAAAGTGAGCTGGTGCCATATACTTTATTAATTTTGATTTTGATACATGAACAACTTTACAACCAAGTGATTCTGTCTTAATCTCTGTTGTCCTGAGCACCAAGAAGCCTTCAATATGGGGGACAGTTCCTGGCCACTCGATCCTAGATGACACTCTCAGGGGCCACTTTGGGTCTTCCATAATGTCAGGAAATAAGTGAGGTCACATTTCATCTGCAAGCTTCCCAAACCTCCCCCAAAGATCTCACATAGGCTGTTAACTTGACGAAGGATGCCTCACTCCCCAGACAGCTGTGGAGCCTATGCATAGAAGGACAGACCTGAGATCAGGAGAGGGAGGAAGAGAAGAAATATTTCTCCTGGTCCTCAAACACAGGCTGTCCGCCAGGGGAACACCACTCACTCCCGTCCTCCACATCTAGGGGTGTTGGGAAAAGCACAATAGAACTTGTTTGCTATCTTCTTCCACGATGACTGGGGCTTCAACTGCTCTTTAATGGGAATGAGAAGTGGTGCTAAGTGTTCCCACAACAAACAGGACAGTCCCCTGTGATGAAGAACTGTCCCACCCAAAATGCCATCTGTGTCTACGTTGAGAACCACAAGAAGTCCCATGGTGGAGTCTGGTGTTGAGAGAGCCCCGTGTCGCGACACCAGCCCAAAGAAGAGACGCGCTCAGCTGTTTTATGTGGATGCACGTGGAGACTCCTTCTGGCCGCACCAGGCTTCCGCCACGAGAGCCCCCATAATCACCACAGTCACGGCAGCCAGACCCAGTCGGATGAGGTTGCCCGAGGTGTAATCCCGGGACGCGGCCCCTGGGGGAGCTGGGAGAGAGGAGAGGATGAGCAGCAGCTGGAAAGGAGCAACCCTCCTCGCGAGGACCTGCCCGGTGTGACTGTCCTGCACCCGCTGGCGCTTCCTGGTCAGTGCTCAGCTCTACCTCCCCTGACGCTGTCGTCACTCAACACAACGTGGGATTTCCAGAGAGTTGTAGTGGCCCTTCCCTGGTCTCCTTCCCAGTCTCTCTGCCTTACCGCTCCCCCTTCCTGTCCTTGATCGTCATCTCATTTCCACCCTCCTGCACTGCCCTTTCCCCTTCTCCCTCCTCCTAGTAGGAACCAGGCTTAGCAGCAACCCCAAAACCCACCGTTGCTGCACAGAGAATGGAGGTCGTTCAGGGGCTGCGTCTGCTCCCCTCCTTATTGCTCTCATAGCAAAGACTTATTCTGTGCAGCCAGTGAGCCCAAGAAAATTCCAGCTTAGTAGCTGGGCGTCGGGACCACTGTGCGTTTCATTTCAGCTTCACCCAGGAAGAGCTCGGGCTCGCCATTGGCCCTGGTTCCCAGAGGGAACCGGCATCTGACTCCTCCAGCTCACACACGCCAGGAGCGCAGAGTTCGCGTCTGAACCCATCAGCAGCAACGCTCCCCGGAGACAGAGTCCGTGGGGAGAGGCCCGTGAGGACACCGCTAGGCCCAGGATGCCCTCTGCACCTCTCGGCACTGCCCGCCCTGACCTTGCGTCCTAACTACAGAAGGTTCGCCGACCACAGTGCACACGCAAACATGCACAAGGCCGAGGACGTGGGCTCAGCCTCCCCTGAAGCAGCAAGTTTAGAAGATTCTGCAGCTGTGTCACGACAGCAGGCGGCCGGGGAGCAGCGTGTTCCAAGACTGAGAGAGGTACTGCCATGAAGTTGCCGTCAGCAGGATGGACCACAGCTCTCGGGGATGCCCGGGGTGGCAGAAGGGGCTCTGGTGGGGGCGGGATGGGTCGTTTGGAAGAACAAGCTGAGAAAGTCTCCAAGAAGGCCAAGCAACAAAGGCCAAAGACTAGAAAGTAGGAAAGGAGAGGTTTAAAAAGGAGATGACCAGGAAGGCGAAGGAGAAACAGGAATCCGAAAGTAACAGAAGAAATGCTTTCCGGTTAAAAAAAAAGAAAGAAAAAAGAAAAAAAGGATGCACACCTTAAACTAACAGTGTTATAAGTCAGTTATAGGTCAACAAAACTGGAGAAAGCCAGTAAAATAGCCCAAATAAAAACAACATAATTAAGAAATAAGTTAAATTTTTAAAAGTCCTAAGAGTCATGCACCTGTCGCCTCACCTGTCACCCGGATCTCGAGATGACTGCTAGGCTGTGAGGTCAAGAAAGGAGCCTTCATCAGAAAGTACACACAGCTGTAGTTCCCGGCGTCATTGACTGTCACAGTCCGGAGGGAAAAGTCTGTCTCCTTCCCTGCTGGACTCTGGACCCGTATGGGCCCTGCCGTTCCCGCCTTCAGTAGAGCGAACATTACAGGCACAAAAATATTGTCTGGCCTCTGGCACTGCAGGGTCACGGTGTCTCCTGCAGTCACCTCACCCCTTTGGTGGGCTTGCAGGGAAGGTTTAGGTAAATCTCCTGAAAGAGAAGTAGGGTTCCAAGGTCATGGGGAGAAGCCCTGCATCCCCCACCCATCCTTGTTTTCCTGGCAGGGGTTCCCGCCACGTGGGGGAAATGACGGATCCCTGGTCTAACCCTCTTTTCACTCTGACTGCGGGAAGGCGTTTTCCCCTTCAAGCCCTGGCTCTTTCTGTTCTGTGTCTCTCCGTCTCCCCTTGTCCCCTCCCTCCTTCGGTCCTCCCCACACCTGTCCCCGGAAGACCCTGTGTCCCTTCGAGGCACCCTCCTTACCTGTCACCAGTAGTAGGAGGATGTCACTAGGCTGTGAACGTGTGTATGGGGGCCCCCGTCTGTAGTAGTCACAGGTGTACTCTCCAGCGCTGTTGGTTTTTAGGTCAGTGAGGTGAAATTCAGCCGGCCCACCTGTGGAAATCCATGATTGCACAGACTCCAAAGGAACTTTTCCCTTTCTGAGAACAAAGTTGACATTCTTGGTAGAAGTCTGGCATTGCAGCGTCACGTTACTCCAGCGAGGCATCACCGAGCTGGGCCAGGCCCTGAGGGAGGGCTTGGGAAGGGACTCTGGAAGGAAGCAGAGATCAGGATGGGGTTTGGTGCCCTTGTCTGCTCCCGAGAAACCCCTTGAAGGAAAGAGAAGTGATACAGGGAGCTTGGAGTGAAGGAGAAGGAGGGTCTGACTGAAGGAACTCACCGTCAGTCCCCCTGCTTCCTTGGCCAGCACTCAGCCCTGCAAGAGAACCGTCCATGAGACACGAGCACCCGCCCGGAGCCCGTCCCCCGGGGCCTCCCTGGAGGTCAGGCCTCTGGGGCTTCTCATTTCCCCCACACTGGCCTGTGGCTCCAGCTCTGCTCCCGGCTCCTTCCTCACTTCTCCCAGAAGGTCTCCTGTATAGCTCGCTCCTCCCACGGCCCCAGGACCTGTCCTGGTTCCACAGATGCCCACAAACCCCTGAATTCTTAAGAGAGTTTATGTACTCATGCCCTGAGAGACACAAGGCTTTACTGTCCCGTCAATACCTGGAAGGAAGCTACTCTATTCTGTTCTCCTTAGCATCCCCCGTGTCTAAACAATCCTGGAACACAGTAAGAATCAAGAAAGCACATTGGACAATTGAAGAGATGTCCCAATTTAAGCAGGACTCAGATTTTTCAAGGCTGGTAGAAAGATTCAAACTTATAATACCGTCCTTTCTTCATTTCACCAGATAGACCAGCCTGAAGGCAACTAAAGCCCCATGGATTATCCTAGAATCTAGGGGTCAGCGATTATTGTGAAAATCAATCACATCGCTGGGACCCAACCAAGCTAAGACAATGCTGTCCCTATTTGTGGGAAGCAGGTCTTCTTAGCACCAGCTGATCGACCTCCGGAGATGCCGCCAGCTCTACTGTGCCCCTGAACATTTTGAAGCACTCATCTTTCATCTCCTTATACTTTTCCCAGCTGACATTTGCTGACTCACCCCGGGGACTTTCCCATTCTGAAGACCCACCATGCCTCATTCTTAATATCCCATTATGACCAAGTGAAAACAGCAGTGACTTTGGATCCAGACAGGCCTGGGTTTGAACTTTGAGGTTTCTGCTCATTCACTGCACAGCCCTGAGCAGGAACCCTGAACTGTCAGTCTCAGGGTCCTCGTTTATCAACATGGGTCTGATTCCCATCACGCAGGACTGTTTGCAAGGGTCAGAGTGGTATTTCCCTCGGGGTGGGATACAAACCACGGGGCCCTACAGATGGTTTCACGGGATGCAATGACACAGTATTTTATAGCATTGATCAAAGCATCAGAAAGCTGAAACCCTTTCCAGTCACTTCTACTCCTTTGATCACAACAAAGAATTCCTTAGGCTAGAGATCAGCCTTCTCACACATCTGTCTCTGGCCAACTGCCCTTTGTGACAGGAAAGTAGCTGGGCATGGGCTCAGAAATGTGATGGCCAAAAGCCCATGGCTAGACTGTCCTAACGCCTTCCTCCTTTAATTTGCATATATGTTTACACCAACCTATTTTTTGCTAAGTGACCCTGGCTTTTCATTTGAATTTTATTTTTTTAAATTTAAGCTATTGGCATTAAATTCCCATCTTCAGATGAATGTGCTTGTTCAAAGACATTGAAAAAATAAATAAAAAGAAATAAAATTAAGATATTGAGTCAATAACATTTTTTTTAAAGATTTTTTTAATTTATTTATTTGACAGACAGAGATCACAAGTAGGCAGAGAGGCAGGCAGAGGGAGAGAGAGGAGGAAGCAGGCTCCCCTGCTGAGAAGAGAGCCCGATGCGGGGCTCGATCCCAGGACTGTGGGATCATGACTTGAGCCGAAGGCAGAGGCTTTAACCCACTGAGCCACCCAGGCGCCCCTTGAGTCAATAACATTTTAAGTAAGTAGGGATGACAGAGGCAGAGGACAGGTTATGGCGTGAAATGTATTTGCCTACCGGCGAACATCTGACCGATAAGATGTGTCTCAAGACTTCCCCTGGGTTTCTGACACACCCAAAGCAATCAGTGGAGACAAGCAGACCTTACTGTTGCTCTTCCCATTTCCAGTGGTCCCATCTTTCTCCACCCACCTTCACCTCTAATCCCAGTAGACGGGCCCAAGAGACTTACCAAAGCAGAGGAGGCAGAGGAATTCAGGGATCATACTGCCCTGCAGGCTGCTCTGGGGGCCCCTCTCCGGTCTCATCCACTACAGGGAGGGAAGCTGGATGTGGTGTGGTGGCATCTTTGGCCAACCCTTCCCTTCCTTCCTCTCATGTGACCTACAGGTTTTGTTCCAACCACGTCCAGGAAACAAGAAGGAATAAAAATGCTCCGTGAGGTCATAATTTATGCAAACCCTTTATATGAACACAGTGAATTCAGGGCTCAAATTCTAACCCAGCCAGGGGCGCTGGACACCTGGGTCGAAATGATTCCACTGAGGAGATGGAAACAGGTTGGTGCAGACACCGCTGGAGATTCCCGGTCTATAGGACCCTGAATAGCTAAAGCAATTCTGAAGAAGAAAAATGAAACTGGAGACAACACTTCAAGCTGTGTTGCAAAGCTGTGATCATCAAGACAGTATGGCACTGGCACAAAAACAGGCACATACATCAATGGAACAGAACAGAGGGCCAGAAATGGACCCTCAACTCTATGGTCAACTAATCTTCAAGAAAGCAGGAAAGAATGTCCAATGGAAAAAAGACAGTGTCTTCAACAAATGGTGTTGGGAAAACTGGATGGCAACATGCAGAAGACTGAAACTGGACCACTTTCTTACACCACACACAAAAATAGACCCAAAATGGATGAAAGACCTAAATGTAAGATAATAAACTATCAAAATTCTAGAGGAGAACACAGGCAGCAACCTCTTTGACCTTAGCCACAGCAACTTCTTATTAGACATGTCACCGGAGGCAAAGAAAACAAAAGCAAAAATGAACTATTGGGACCTCATCAAGATTAAAAGCTTCTGCACAGTGAAGGAAATGAGCAACCAAACTAAAAGGCAATCTACAGGGCGCCTGGTTGGCTCAGTGGGTTAAAGCCTCTGCCTTCGGCTCAGGTCATGGTCCCGGGATCCTGGGATCGAGGCCCGCATCGGGCTCTCTGCTCGGTGGGGAGCCTGCTTCCTCCTCTCTCTGCCTGCCTCTCTGCCTACTTGTGATCTCTCTCTCTGTCAAATAAATAAATAAAATCTTTAAAATAAAATAAATAAAAGGCAATCTACAGAATGGGAGAAGATATTTTCAAATGATATATCTGATAAAGGCATAGTATTCAAAATCTATAAAGAACTGGGACACCTGGGTAGCTCAATCAATAAGTGTCTGCCTTCAGCTCACATCATGATCCCAGGGTCCCAGGGTCAAGTCCTGTGATGGGGTCCTTGCTCAGTGGGGAGTCTGCTTCTCCCTCTGCCTGCTGCTCCCCCTGCTTTTGCTCGCTCTCTGACAAATAAATAAATAAATAAAATCTTTTTTAAAAACCCAAACTCTAGGGGCACCTGGGTGGTTCAGTGGGTTAAAGCCTCTGCCTTTGGCTCAGGTCATGATTCCAGGGTCCTGGGATCGAGCCCCACGTCAGGCTCTCTGCTCAGCGGGGAGCCTGCTTCCCCCTCTCTCTCTGCCTGCCTCTCTGCCTGCTTGTGATCTCTGTCTGTCAAATAAATAAATAAAATCTTAAAAAAAAAGAAGACACACAAATGACCAACAGACACATGAAAAGATGCTCTACATCACTAACCTCAGGGAACTATAAATCAAAACCAGGAGAAGATACCACCTCGCACCTGTCAGAATGGCTAAAATTAACAACACAAGAAACAATAGGTATTGATCAAGATGTAGGGAAAAGGGAACCCTCTTACACTGTTGGTGGGAGTGCACACTGGTGCAGTCACTTGGAAAACAGTTTGGAGGTTCTTCAAAAAGTTAAAGATAGGGACACCTGAGAGGCTCAGTGGATTAATGGTCTGCCTTCAGCTCAGGTCATGATCCCAGGATCTTGGGATTGAGCCCAGCAGGGAATCTGCTTCTCCCCCTCCCTTTCGCCCTCCACCCACTCAAGCTCTCTCTCTCTCTCTCTCTCTCAAATAAATAAATAAAATCTAAAATAAAAAAGTTAAAAATAGAACTATCCAAGGATCCAACAACTGCACTACTAGGTATTTAACACAAAATTTACAAAAACACAGATTTGAAGGGGCACATTCACCTCGCTGTTTATAGCAGCAATGTTCCCAATAGCCAAACTATGGAGAGAGCCCAAATGTCCATCAAAAAGATGTGGCATATATATATATATATATATATATATATATATATATGCATGCAATGGAATATTACTCAGCCATCAAAAAAATGAAATCTTGCCATTTGTAATGGATGGAGCTAGAGCGCTAAGCGAAATAAGTCAGTCAGAGGAAGGCAAATACCATATGATCTCACTCATATGTGGAATTTAAGAAACAAAACAGGTGAACATATGGGAAGGGGAAAAAGAAAAAAGAGAGAGTGAAGGAAAGCATAAGAGACTCTTAATGATACAGAACAAATTGAGGGTTGCTGGAGGGAAGTGGTGAGGGATGGCCAGATGGGTGATGGGGATTAAGGAGGGAATTTGTTGTGATGAACACTAGGTCTTGTAGGTAAGCGATCACTGAATTCTGCTCCAGAAACCCTGAGATCATGACCTGAGCCAAAATCAAGAGTCCGAGGCATAACCAACTGAGCCACCCAGGTACCCTGAAAGCCACAATGGTTTTGAAAGCCAAGCTGGCAAAACTTTTGTCAATCTAAGCTTCAAAAAATTATACAACGACTTGAAGTTTCAACTTCCTGTGTGCAGAAAGCATGCTGAGAAAATGGGCCATCCATCAAGCGGGTCATATTCTCCAAGGTCGTCTTCAGAAGTGGACAGGAAGGTTAATAAAAGAAAGACATCTCAGAAGGAGGAACCAAGACCTCACAGGACAGTGGGCTGAGAAGCTCCTCATGAAGAACAGAAATGAAACTTTGTGAAGGAACATTTCCACCCCCAGAATTGTGGCATCTAGCAACATTTCCCAGAGTGATTTTTGAAGCTACTGCAAACCAGTGACTGCTTTATGTCACCTACACACATAAGGAGGAAGCTTTCTCAAGTGGGAGTATTGTGGTTTTCCCACTTCTGTTTTGTCATCATATGGCAGATGTATGGGGCAGCTAATTTGTGCTTTAGTTCAAGAGTCCTGGATCCAGAGGAGCCACTGATAGACTTGATAATGATCACTAGATCCTGGATTTAAAGCCTGATGCCATTACTGGATGGAAATTTGGGGGACCATGTCCTGGGGTGGGAACGAGCATATTTTGTATGTGGGATGGATATGAATAACTGCGGCCAAGAAGTCAAAGTGAAATAGATCACATCAATAGCCCTTCGACTGTGGATTCAGCCACGTTTTTTGCTTTGGTCAGCAGGATAAGGTGCAAGTAGCAACAGTTTCTCTCCAGCCCAGGTCTTCAGGGGTACTGCATATTTTGATTTGGTGCCTGTGCATCTTCCCTTTCCACGAGAAGAACACGTGACAGCTAGCACATTGTTCTCGGGGGAAGATGAAGGACATGTGAACTGGAGCCAAGTCACCCCATCTGATGGCAGAAAGAGATGGACCAGAAATAAGTGGATCTGGGAGACACGGAGGGAAAGTGTGCACAAGTGCATTCACACATACATTCCTCTTACTAGTTAGTGTGGAACGTCGGTGACTTCAAATCTTAATAAAAATCAGGACTCACTTTCCATTGGTGTTTTTTGTCGGAAACTTAACTTCTGAAGAATTGTACTGAAAAAATAATTGTAGGACAAGGTTGAGGTTGAGTCAGAAGGTGAGGAGCCTGTATGAGCTTCAAACAAGGTGTCTTTGATAGACATATAGTGGTCCAGAGTTGTAGTGGCCCAGAGTTGGGGGGTCTTCTCTTCTTGCTCTATCTTCTCTTCCAGTCTTAGTCCCTCCAATAATTTCAATCTAACCTAATAATTTCAATCTAACCTCTCTGCCCTCTCAGAGAGTGTATGAGAATCTACTTTTCGCTTTTGGCTCAGGTGTGTGTAACCTCTGCTAGGGTATTGTGTATCAGAAGTGCTGACATCTGCTTTGAGATGTAGTATAGGATTTTTCAACACTTGTAACATTGTGTATCAGTAGATGCACCTCTCATACCTCCAGGAAGGGGACCTAATAATTCTAGAAAACAGATGTATAGTGATAACATTGTGGCATCTGCATATGCTTTCAGCAATCTCATGGTTAAAGACCCATGGCTAAGGGAGAGAAGAATCATAGATTAGTCCTTGGAAGGAGAAAAGGTCTTGCCTGGGCACAGCCTGAGATGGGCAGATAAACGCACATAGTAGACAGTACTGAATTTTTGCATGTCTACCTATTCATATCCAGTGTATCCTGGAATAACTGTCTTCACTGGGACATTGACCACTTGTCACTTACTCTCTGTGTTTAAATGAAACTGATCCAGGGGCGCCTGGGTGACTCATTGGGTTAAAGCCTCTGCCTTAGGCTCAGGTAGTGATCCCAGGATCCTGGGATCGAGCCCCGCATCGGGCTCTCTGCTCAGCAGGGAGCCTGCTTCCTCCTCTCTCTCTCTGCCTGCCTCCCTGCCTACTTGTGATCTCTGTCTGTCAAATAAATAAATAAAATCTTAAAAAAAAAAAAAAGAAAGAAACTGATCCAGACTCATGGCTGCAGGTGTGCTCATACGTACCCAAAAGGCCAATTAGTGTGATCCATCTCTTTGGCTACATTTATCGATTTAGGAATGGACATATAAACCAGGATCAAAACAACATTGAGTCTGCCTTATGAGTTTCACTGCAAGTGTTAGTGCTAACACACTATTTCTCCCTGGAGATGCCATTGGATATCTTCCCACCACATGAAGAAAACCAACCTGAGTGTGAAGTCTACACAGTGGAAAGAGGCACCTAGACATGGAGAAAGACAGATTCCCAGTACCATTATTTGAGGCTTTGGATCTACCCATGCTTGAACACTGCCTTCGTGTTTTCAGTTATGTGAGGCAATCATTAACCAACAAAAGTTCTTAATGGACCCGGGAAGCAAAGCGCAGCTGGGAAGGAAAGATGAGTGTTGTACTACTAGAGAGGAATTTGCTTCCTTAATTCACCAATATTTCCTCCTTTGTTCCTGGAAAATGGGATTACCCTCTTCCCATTTGAGAAAAAAGTTGAATAGAAGCTTTTCAATTTCCCTTGATTTACTTTCTCTTCTATAACAGAAAGCACAGGAAAACTCTGATGTTGTGGGACCCATTTGTCAAGGTTTACTGAAAGATAAGTGGCTCAGCCTCAAAATTTCTGTTTTCTTGTTGACCACCCTGCTCTCAGGAGCAGTGGTTCCCATCTTTTACCAAAGACTCCTGCAGGATGTTCTGGATGTTACCACGTGCTTGCCCAGGCATCGTATTGTGCCCATGCCAACTTCCTGGCTTTCATAATATACAGCAGTTCTATTACCAATGAGAAAGCTGATTGATGGTTATGTGGGAGCTCTGTAATATTTTTTTTATTTGTAACTTTAAAATATTTTCCAAAACAAATTTTTTTAAAGAAAATGTCTTGGTCAGGACTTCAGATGAGATAGGACAGATCTCAGAGTGGGTGGAGCTGGAGGCACACACACCACATTTATGAGGGAGATGTTGTCACTGATGGTTTCCTGGCTTAGTTGTGAGGAGGAAACTGTACACCAGGCAGTGGAGAACCAACATGTCGGGGTAAGACCTCTACCCACACAACGTGGAGACAAAGTGGGCAGGAGGGACCCGCGATGGCCCAGTTCCCCTTCTTCCTTTGAACTGTAAAACTGAAGACGGGATCTCAGTCTGAGTCAAAGGGACAGTATGCTCACAGAATTCCTGTCCGTGCTTTGCCTTGGTGAGTCTCCAGGACTAGGACAGATGGGTTTGGGTGGGTGAGAAAATTCACGGTGAAGCGGGGGTTGATGTGAAATGATATCTTCTGTGTACTGGACACATGCTACCTGTCAGAGTTTCGTGGGCTGTGGTATGACACTCCTCTGTTCTGGGGACCTGAGGAAGTGAGGTTCAGAGCCATGGGGTGATACCCTCATTTACTCAGCTAAGCAATGCAGAGCTCCCATGAGGTCTGCAAACCTGCTTGGTCCAAATACCACTCTTGCCATGAATGCTTGTTGGCATAGAGGAGGGTGGGATACATAGGGTGTGGAACTATGGGTTTGGGCACAGACCAAGATTATAAAGAAGGGCTACATCTGGGGACAATGGATGAAAAGAAAAATTTCTGACCAACCCCATTCTCTACTGATTTTAACTGTCCTCAACTTGAATGTGATGTAATCTAAGGGACCTCAGCCTGTTAATAGGAAGACCTGTGATTATGACCTTGGCTTGGTCTCGTAGGAGCTCTAGACTGTGAGCCAGCAGTTCCACTGACCAAGATCCCAGTTCCTCTTTTGTGAGGTGGAGCTGAGGGGTGTGTGGAGAGGATATCAGGACTTGTCATCTGCTCCAGTTCCTTCCTCCTTCATTTGAGATACAGCCCTTCCTTTAGGTAATGCTTTGAGCCCCTGGTGTGGCTATATCCTGAGCCCCTACTGCAGGGCATAATAAGTTGGGCAGTCGAGAGACTCACCTCATCCTGCCCGTAGTCATTTCTGGAAGTGCCAAACACCAAATGGCTTAAAACAACAGAAATCTATTCTCTCACAGTTCTGGAGGCGAGATGTCCAAGGTCAAGGTGCCAGCAGGGCTGGTTCCTTCGAGGGCTCCGAGGCCCCAAGGGAGATTCTGTTCCAGGCTCTCCTCCCTTCTGGGGATGGTAGGCAGTCCTTGGGTTCCTTTCTTGCAGATGCTTTGCTGCAATCCCTCATGTCCTCACATGGCCATCTTCCCTCCGTGTCTGTCTCTCTATAGCTCCCCACCTCTTATGGGGACACCAGTCATACTGAATTATGGGACTAGCCTACTCCCAAATAATGCTATTTCCAAATAAGTTCGCATTCACAGGTGCTGGGGGTTAGGACTTGAACCTACCTTTCTGGAGGACACAATGAATCATTATTCCATGGATGGGTCTATAATGCTTAGCAAGGCAGTCCACTTCTATAGGAAGATTCTCAGACTAGCATTGGGATTCAGATAAATTTTGGTTCTCAGTGTGACCTCCCAAAGATGCCAGACTGTAGCTGCCCACAGACTTGCTTCCAGGCTCCTGGTCCTGCCGTGACAATACTCAGAGGGAATGACACATGGCAGCTGAGAGAAAAGACCCTAACAGCCCTGAATCCCTAGGTTGGGCTGCTTTGGAAGCCAGATTCACTGTTGCACTTAATGGAGGTTTCGTGCCTAAACTAACACAACTAGTCATTTCCGCTTCTTATATCAGGTGGACTTCTGATAGTTCGATCTCTATACTTTTTCAGTACAGAGGGTAAATGTACCCAACTTAACGTAAAATTTTTAAAATGTGATACAATTCACCTAAGAGTAACCGTTTAAAGTAGACAATCAAGTGGCATTTTAGACACATTTAGACATTTACACACAATGTTGTGTAACCACCGAAAATGTTTTCATCACCCGTAAAGGAAATGCTGTACCCACAAAGCAGCCACTTGCCATCCCCCTTCCCTGGGGTGGGGTGGGGGGATGCCACCCATGTACTTTCTGTCTCTCTAAATGGAGCTACTCTGCATCTATCATGTAAATGGAATCATACATGTGACTTTTCATGTCTGGATTCTTTCTCTAGGAATGATTTTTTAAAGATTTTATTTATTTATTTGTCAGACAGAGAGAGAGAGAGAGAGAGCGAGCGCACAAGCAGGCAGAGAGGCAGGCAGAGGCGGAGAGAGAAGCAGGCTCCCTGCTGAGCAGGAGCCCAATGCGGGACTCGATCCCAGAACACCGGGATCATGATCTGAGCCAAAGGCAGTGGCCCAACCGACTGAGCCACCTAGGCATCCCAGGAATGATGTTTTTAAGGTCCATCCAGGATGTGTCACCACAACATTTCTTTCTACAATAGAATAGGAGAATATTTTATATAACATAACCTGAAGAATGCTTTAGATACAATTTTTAAGCTTTCCAGACGATGCGTTCAAAGGATCTGTTAAATCGTAATTTAACAGGAATCTGGAGATCGATTCTGGTGCCCAGTTCCAATGTGTGGGGGTGGGGCCCGGAAACCACCAAGAAATTCTTGAACACCATTTGGGTGTCCTGTAATTTAACTCAGCTCTGATACTATCTACCTGGAGTCAGCATCAGATCCTGTAGGTGAGGTCTCAGTCCCGCAAGACTCCCTCCTCCCCATTTTAGATGCCAAGGGCAAGTCTGGGTCATCACCTGATCAGTCAGCTATCTATCAGGAGTTCCCATGACCCCCTCTTTGGGTTTGGCTAATGTGCTAGAGAGGCACACAGAACTCACAGAAATATTTAAGTTACTGGTTGCCAGTATACTATAAACAGCTATAACTCAGGGATAACCAAATGGAAGAGATGTGGAGAACCAGGTATGGGGAAAGGGCGCCGAGTTTCCATGTCCTCTCCAGGCACACCACTCTCCCTGCACCTCCCTCTGTTCATCAACCTGGAAGCCCTCTGAAACCATCCTCCCTTTTTTTTTTTAAGATTTTATTTTTATTTATTTGAGAGCGAGAGGATGAGAGAGAGAGAGAGAGAGAGCACAAGAGGGGGAAAGTCAGTGGGAGAAGCAGACTCCCTGCCAAGCAGAGAGCCCAATGCGGGACTCGATCCCAGGACTCCAGGATCATGACCTGAGCCGAAGGTAGTCACTTAACCAACTAAGCCACCCAGGTGCCCTGAACCCATCCTTCTGAGCATTTATAGAGGCTTCATTACATAAGCACAATTGATTAAATCATTGGCCAATGGCAATTGATTCCATCTCCAACCCCTCCCCCATTCCCAGAGGTCAAGGAGATGGAATTGAATGTTCCAAGCTTGCCATCCTATGGTTGGTTCCCCTGGCAACCAGCCCTCATCCTTAGGTGTGGTCCAGAAGTCACTTCATAACATAATGAAAGACACTTATATTGCATCCAAACATTGGAAAATTCCAAGGGTGTGTGTCTGGTTCATTCAGTTAGAAGAGCGTGGGACTCTTGATCTTGGGGTCATGAGTTTGAGCCCCATATTGGGTGTACAGATTCCTAAAATAAATAAATAAACAGTCTTAAAAAAAAAAAAACATGGTTAAGAAAATTCCAAGAGCTTTAGTAGCAGCTGTGTGCCAGAAACCAGGACAAAGACCAAATGTGTATTTTTTTTTAAAGATTTTATTTATTTGACAGAGATCACAAGTAGGCAGAGAGGCAGGCAGAGAGAGAGGGAGAGGAAGCAGGCTCCCCGCTGAGCAGAGAGCCCGATGCGGGGCTCGATCCCAGGACACTGAGATCATGACCTGAGCCGAAGGCAGAGGCTCAACCCACTGAGCCACCCAGGCGCCCCGCAAATGTGTATTTCTTATCATAAACCACAGCATCACCTAAGTTTTTAGGGAGCTGTGGCTTCTCTTATCCCCACTGCTACCTGTCTCAGTGGGAGGTGTAGCACCCAATGAGGCTGGACGTTGTTCAGAGCACATAGCTGTAAGAGGATAGATGACAGTGGCCCACCAAGGACCTGCTGAAGAGTATAAGTGTGTCAGTGGTCAGTGTCTGTAAAGAGTCCGTTGAATGACAGACACTTGGTAATTGGTGGGTTTTCATTGTATTTTTTTCCTGAGAAATGTGTTTTTTTCCAGTTATCCTGCGTTCCCATCAATGACAGTTCCTTCTGTGTGGACAGTCCTCCTTGTCTATGTCCACTGTGGTCCCTTGTTAGGAAAGAGGGACAACTTCTGAGGAATCCAACACATAGCATGGAGACCGTAGTTAATCATTCTGTGTTCTCACCCCGAACACACACGCACGCACACACAGAGGGTCACTCTAGGAGCTGATGGATGTGTTAATTGGCTTTGATTGTGGTAATTTTTCTATGTATGTGTGTGTGTATATACATATAGATCATGTTGTGTAACTTAAGTATATATAGTTTTATTTGTCAAAGAAAGAGAACCTCTCTCTCGCCTTTACACCCTATTCTCCAGTAGGGTTTCATAAGGCAAAATGAACTAAAGGCATCTGTGTGCTTATTTTAAAAAGGGGTGGTCACTGTTTGAGCAGAATATTGGGTGATACCAGAGCTGACACAACATGAGTCTAAAAACAGGTTTGTTGGGGGAGGACTAAAAAGGGAACATGAGACCTAGGACCCCCTGACGACCCAGAGGATGATTTCCTACCTATAAATCCCACCACTGTCACTGCAAGTTGGGCCTCAATGCACCTTTTTTCTTGGTGAAACTTGGGGGGTTCTGTGTTGTGAGTTAACCCCTGAGTTTAAGCAAGGGCCAGATGTTCTGAGATATTCTCACATCTAGAGAAATTCTAGCTTCACTGCTTGACAGACCCCCAAGACAGGTTTCCCATATTTTCATCCAAGGGATGACCTTCCTATCCCAGAATGAAATACACAGAACAGAACACAGGAGAGGTAGGGCCTGACGTTTGTGAAGATCAAAGTCACATGTAGAAAGAGCATTTAGGACCGTGAATGTTTTGAACTCCTTGCGAAAAGAAGAATCTTGTCAGAGAGAGCGACTTCTCTCCATTTGAATCAGGGAGGAAGCCCTCTGCTCACACTCCACAGTAAAATAACGACTGTGTTATTTAAGTGGCCAGGGTGAAAAGTGCAGTCATGGAAAGCAGGAGAAGAAAATATAGGCAAATGTGTAATGATATCTAGATGGTGAAAGAAAGACTGATCATGAAAGCAACACCATAAATGGGTAAAGGCTGCTGGAACTTTGTACGTAAACGTAACTCCTGAATGAGAAACAATGGGACATAAGCAAATGGTAAAAAAAATCAATCCAAGGAAGTGCCTCCAAGAAACAGGATAGATCTCTAACAAATTAGCCATGCGTTCTCTGCCTGATATGTACTCAAAGATGAGTATACAACCCATGTCTCATGAGGGTTTCTCTTCCAGGGCTCAGCCTGGGCTTTGAAGATGAGAAAAAGAATGGTGAGTTTTCTCACCTATCTGTTCCTGCAACCCAGATTTTCTCTTTCATGCTCTGAATTCTGGGAGGGCACTGGTGGTCATCATGATGAAGAGTCAGACTAACTCTGAATTCTTTCCAGAGACACTTCCCAAGCCCTCCCTCAGTGCCTTGTCCAGCTTAGTGGTGGGATACAGAGGCAACGTGACCCTGAGGTGCCAGTCTCACTTCCAGAATGTGACATTCGTGCTGGGGAAGCTGCAGGACTCCAGGTACAGGCAGGAGCAGAGGTCCACAGGACACAAGGCTGAGTTCCTCCTTACTCACCTGGAGCCGAAGGATGCTGGGATGTACTTTTGCGCCTACAAGACAATGGTCTCCCAGGAGTGGTCAGGGGAGAGCGAATACCTACAGCTCAAGGTCAGAGGTAAGAAAGGCTGCCTCGGGTTTGCTCTTGAGGCATATGTTCCTGTGCTGTGATGGAACCTGGCTGGGCAAGGAAAAGTCCGGGAAATGGACAGATGTAACCACTTGAATGTAAAATATGGTGGAAATAGGAAGTGAGTGTGGGGAAAGGTTCTCATCAGAGATTCTGAGTGTGGATCAACGAGGTGGAGGTGGGAGTGTTTTAGAATAGAGTTTTAGGGGACCTGGGTGGCTCAGTGGGTTAGGCATCTGCCTTCAGCTTGGATCATGGTCCTGGGGTCCTGGGATCAAGCCCCATGGCAGGCTTCCTGCTCAGTAGGAAGCACGCTTCTCCGTCTTCCTCTGCCGCTCCCCCTGCTTGTGCTCTCCTTCTCTCTGTCAAATAAATAAATAAAAATTTTAAAAAAGAATATAGGTATGAATAGAAAATTTGAGGTAGAGTATGGCCAAAGATGAAGAGATGATTGTCATTGAGAAAAAGATAGTTTGGGGGCACCTGGATGGCTTAGTTGGTTAAGTGTCTGCTTTCAGCTCAGATCGTCCTGGGGGAGCCTGCTTCTCCCTCTCACTCTGCCCCGCCCTGCCCCCTGCTTCTGCGCTCTCTCACGTTCTTGCTCTCAAATAAATAAATAAATAAGTAAAATCTTTGAGAGAGAGAGAGAAAGATAGTCTATTAGAGTTCCCAAGAAGAGGGGTATAGCCATGCCACACAGGACCACATAGAGACACACAAAGGACAGTCAAGAAACAGAGGGAGGAGGAAAACTGGGCAAGAGTCTTTACTGAGGTTTCTGTGGGAAGGAACAGACTTAAGATTGGCTCTGGTGTATAGAGGTTGTCCCTGATTGTCTGGTATCTGACAGGGAATCTCGACCCAGAGTGTGAGAGCCATAGAGGAGGTGGTTGGCAGTATGAGCTCTGGAATGGTTGGTTTGCACCTGAGGGGTGTGCTTGGGGAAGTGGATACCCTTGGTGGGGGATCAGGGTCAGCAATGTCCCAAGATATCAGGATCAGGGTCAGCAATGTCCCAAGATATCAAAGTGTCACATTCAGAAAATAAAATCTATGGTTAATAGAAAGATGGGTAAGAATATCCCCAGGTGCATTGGAAAAGAGGAATCTCTGGTCCTTCCCTTCACCCATGTTGCTTTGGCCTCTTCAGGGTCAGTCCTAAACCTCCCTCTTACTCAACATAGACCCTGAGATGACCCCGGGTCACAGTATGAGACTCTGATGTCTGATTGCACACGACAGACCAATTGTATTGTTATTGTGCTGCTGAAAACAGAACTCCCAGAGCCGCTACAAGTTGAGAAAACAAGAAAAATCCAAACTGACTATCAGGACGGCATAAGACATCCCTCGCTTTTGACCCCCCCACTTCAACAACAGAAATTTGGCATCCATCCACAAACCGAAGTGCCTTTGTGGGAGTTGTGGGATCTGGCACCACACAGCAAGGGACCCGAGAGGAGTCTCACCCGCCTGTGCATTGAGTAATAGGCAGACAGAGCTCAGTACCAGCTGTGGAACCTGAAAGAGACTGTAAATTAATTCCAGGTCCTGTTGGCCATGGCCTAGAAGCACCTGGAGACTTGGGCAATCACCTATGGGCAAGAGAATCTTTGTAGGAGTCTATAAACCAAGACTGAATCATGAAGAAATAGAAAATCCGAACAGATCAATAACAGATAAGGAGATTGCCTCAATAATCAAAAACCTCCCAATGAAGAAAAGTGACCAGATGGTTTCACTGGTGATTTCCACCAGGCATTTAAAGAAATAACGCCAATCCTTCTCAAAGTCTTACTAAAAATGGAAGATGTTGGGGTACCTGGCTGGCTCAGCCAGTAGAGCATGTGACTCTTGATCTCAGAGTCATGAGTTCAAGCCCCATGTTGGGTGTGGAGCCTACTTAAAAAAAATTGAAGGGGCACCTGGGTGGCTCAGTGGGTTAAGCCTCTGCTTTCGGCTCAGGTCGTGATCCCCGGGTCCTGGGATTGAGCCCCACATCGGGCTCTCTGCTCAGCAGGAAGCCTGCTTCCCTTCCTCTCTCTCTGCCTGCCTCTCCGCCTACTTGTGATCTCTGTCTGTCAAAAAAATAAATAAATAAATAAAATCTTTAAAAAAAAATTGAAGATGTGGGAACATTCCTACATTCATTTCATGAGACCAGCATTACCTATACCAGAGCCAGATAGTGACACTGGGAGAAACCTACAGAGCAATGTCCCTCATGGACACAGAGGCAAAAATTCTCAACAAAACCTTAGCAGCCAAATTCAACAGCACATTAAGAAGATCTTACATTATGGTTAATTGGGATTTATCCTTGGGGTGCAAGGATGGTTTGACGTACACAGTCAGTAAATGTCATAGACCATTTTAACGAATGAAAGACAAAAAAACTATAATCATCTCAATAGAGGCAGAAAAAACATTTGACAAAACACAATGTCCTTTCAAGATTAGAACCTCTCCACAAGTCAGGTATAAAAGCAATGCATCTCAACATGACAGAACATACACAGCTAGCATCGTACGCGAAGGCGAAAGGTCAAAATCTTTCCTCTGAGAACAGAAACAGGATGAGGACGTCCACTCCTACCTCTCCTAGTCAACATAGTACTAGAGGTCCTAGCCCTAGCAATCAGGCAAAACAAGGAAATAAAAGGCATCCAAACTGGAAAGGAAGAGGGACAACTGTCTTTATTTGTAGGTGATATAATGTTATACATGGAAAATCCTAAAGACTCAACCAAAAGACCTGTTAGATCCTGAATAGCCAAAGCAATACTGAGAAAGAAGAATAAAGCTGGGGCTAATGTAATACTGATTTCAAACTATACTACAAAGCTATGGGGGCGCCTGGGTGGCTCAAGAGGGTTAAGCCTCTGCCTTCAGCTCAGGTCATGATCTCAGGATCCTGGGATCATGACCTGAGCCAAAAGCAGAGGCTTTAACCCACTGAACCACCCAGGCGCCCCTAAAATCTTTTTAAAAAACTGTCATGTGATAGCAAGGATTCTAGGCTACTGAATAGCCATTATATAACCTATGAAAATAACAGAAGTGCATAAAACAATATTTTTTTTAAAAAGCTATAGTAATCCAAATGGTGTGACATTGGCATAAAAATAGACACATAGATCAATGGAATGGAATCAAGAGCCAACAAATGATGTTGGAAAACGGGATAACCACATGCAGAGGATGAACCTGGACCCTCATCTTGTGCCACTCACAAAAATTAACTCAAAATGTATTAAAGACTTAAACATAGGACCCCAAGACATAAAACCCCAAGAAGAAAATGGGAAAAGCTTCCTTACATGACCTTGGCAATGATTTTTTTTATATGACCCATAAATCACGAGAAAACGAACGCAAAAATAAACAAGTGGGATTGCTTCAGGCCAAAAGCTTCCACACAGCAAAAGAAACAGTCAGCAAGATGAGGAGACAACCTACCAAATGGGAGAAAATATTTGTAAAATGGTGGTGCTCCTTCCCGGGATAGGGAAGACTGGCAAGGAATAGGACTGGAAGGGGTAAAATTAGTGAGATCACTTATAAATGTTTTGTTATTAAACATAATATGATAAAAATAATGTGAAACTCAGGAGTACTAAAAAGAGCTGTCTGGGGGTGCCTGGGTGGCTCAGTCATTGAGGATCTGACTCTTGATTTTGTCTCAGGTCATGATCTCAGCATCATGAGATCAAGCCCCATGTCAGGCTCTGTGCTCAGCATGGAGTCTGCTTGAGGTTCTCTCCCTCCGCCTCTCCCCACCCCTCAAATAAATAAATAAATACAATCTTAAAAAAAAAAAAAAAGAGCCATCTAATGTTATGGCCCAGGTTTGGGGACCCAGTGAGCATCCCAAGGGGAAAATGGGAAATGGGAAGTGGGGAAGGGAAATAGGAAAGACATTTTCCACTTCCCAAAGGGAGCTTAGAGTCCATAAGCAGAATAAGAGGACCTATGTCCCCAAGATTTCCACTCAATCACTGACTTTGTCCCCCCTGCATCTTGTTTTCTAGATGTCCACGATGGACATGGAGCTACGGGAGTAAAAAATGGTAAGATAATCTGAGAGATATTTTTCTAATTTTTATCCACCACATGAGGCAGGCAGTCCCCTTTGGTTAAAAGGCACAGAAGAACTTTGATGCTTGGTTTCTCACTGTGATAGAGAAGATGACTGCCTTTCTGGGAAGACGACCCCCAAGCTCCTCGTGGGTTAAGGGAAGGCCGATGAGTAAAACAGTTAGAGGCGCGTCGTTTGTCTTTTTACGTAGTGAAACACCATGGCGGAGTCTTGTGAAGACTGGGGATGAGCTTGTGTGTCCGGTTTGGGCAACAGGATGGGGACCCGTGGAGCCCAGGTGCTTTGGGAATGTGTGTGATCAAGGATTTGCTAAAACTTTAGAGTTCTCAAAAACAGGTGAATATTAAGTTATTTTTCTCTGATGTTGCTTTTCCATGAGGAGTTGACTAAGAGTCTATCCTCGGAGATGCTTGCAAAAGTTAGAACTTTGGACATCTTTGCATGAAAACAGCTCATCCACATTTTAATGGCCAAATATATAATGTAAGTGGCATCTAGTTGCTTACTTAATTTCTGCAACTCGTAACCTCCCTGTAATCTACTCCAATGAACCAAAATTGTCCAAGGCTGTCATTAGAGTCTATGCGAGAACAACTTTTTTTTTTAAGGTATCTCCCAAAATGTCCTTGCAAAATAAGTAATAGCCTTTGAAAATGTTTTCATTCGGTATTAGCAGACTTGGGGAATGAGCTCTATTCCAGCCTTATGAACATAAGTCACACCAGGAATGTTTTCTGGGAGAAATCTGAAATCGGATCGAGTCAAGGACCACGGAAGTACCAGAAATAAGGCAGGAAGTCTAGCGACGGGTGAGAGGGGAAAGAGGAAGAGGAATATTCTTCCTTTTGGCTCTCGCATTACTTATTTTCTTTCTTTTGTATTGATTTGTAATTCACATCCCATAAATCCAGCCTTTTAAAGTACACGATTTGGTGGCATTTGGCACATTCACAGGGTTGTGCAACCAACGTCACTCTATCATTCCAGAACATTCTCATCCCCCCCAAACGGACTCTCCTTCCCCATCAGCAGTCTCTCCCCATTCCCTTCCCAATGATGGACATTTGGGTTGTTCATACCTCTCAGGTATCGCAATTAAGGCTACTATGACCTCTGGGGGCGGGGGGTGCGGAGCACCTGTTTGAGTTCCTGCTTCCAGTGTTCTTGGATATCTACCTAGGAGTAGAATTGCTGAGACATATGGTAACTCTATGTTTAACTTCTCGAGAAACTGCCAAATTGTTTTCCAATGTGGCCGCACCAATTTACATTCCCACCAGTAATACATGTGGGTTCCAATATCTCCACATCCTTGCCAACATTTATTTTCCTTTCATTTTATTATAGACATCCTAGTGGGTGTGTAGATCATTTCTTGAGATGTACTTTCTGAGCTCAAATTTATACCGCAGCAATCCTAAATGGAATAAAGTCTTTAAGCACAGATAGGATGCTCCCAGCCCGTACAGAGGGTCGCATATGCGCATATAAGGCCCGGCTTCCTCTCTGCTGCCTGAGGCCTCATTTATGCCCGTGGCAAGCTTTATCTCACCACTCCCTGTGATTCCTTCATGGCGACACCAGAGACCCTTGCTAATTTATTCTAGCAGTTTGTAAAGAGCGATGGGAAATTTGGCCAGGAAACATGGATGTCTCAGGGTGAACGCAGATCAGCAGGTTGTGGGGCCGTAGGAAGGGGAATGTCTTGTGAAGGTTTACTTCTCCCTTCTAGTGAGGGGCTGGGGGAGAGAAGCCCAAGGCCAGATGAACGGTAAGCAGGGCTGATGTCTGGAGCAGCTGTTCCCACCCTGCTTTCTTAGGCTCCCGGAGAGGCACTGATAGTTTGCTGCTTTGAGGGTCTCTTGGATTCAGTGCCACCAAAAGATTCAAAGAAGTATTGATGTGAAAGTGACAGTGTAGGAGGTGCCGGGGAAGGAGGGCTGAGAAGAAAAGGACTGAGCAAGAGTGCGATATCCATGTCCCTCCCTGGTGTCTTTTGCACTGTGCTGGGCTAGGGGGTTCAGGCAGTCCTGGGAAAGAGGTGTCCCTGGGATACAGAGATCCCGAGGCATTCGGGGTCCTTCCTGGCAGTCTCCCGAAAATGAGATGCAAATGTTCACATTGGAAAGTGAAAGAAACCATGATCCAGAGAACATAAAAATTGCAAAGGGAGTGGAGGAGCGCTGGCATCCTCCGTGACAGAGGGGAGACAGGTGTGGGTGGGATATGAGGGGGGAAATAATCATCATCACTACAATCTCATTCCTACACATTGAGTCAGATTTTAGACTCTGCTTTGAAGCCAGTGCTTTCCATCACTACTCAGCTCTTCAAGTTCCGTGTTCTCATCCCTCCCCTCTCCTTAACCCCCCTTCTGGAGGCATAACTGACCAAAGTGTGCACGTGATGGTCTGATCTCCAGGACTTACTCCTCTGTTCACTGGAAGCCGGTAGCCTTTTACCAGCCTCTTCCCACCTCCCCACCCGCCACCCTCCTTGGCCCCTGGCAACGACCACTCTACTCTCTGCTTCTACAAGTTCAATTGAAAGATATTTTTTTCTTTGTTTCAGATTCCTTGCATAAGTAGAATCTAAGCAGGTAGTATTTGCTTTCGTCTGGCTCGTCTCCTCAGCATAACACATCTGCACTGTCGCAGACAGCAGGATTTTCTACTTTTTTTATGGCTGAATAATACCCCAGTACATATACCATTTAACTCTTGAACTCTTGAGTGTGGATTTTCATTCCTCTGGGATGGGACTTATTGTTCTCTCTGCGGCATCACAGTGACGGGGGTAAATGTACGTCTCCCCAGAGTGTGAGGTCACGTCTCTGGTGTTTCCACACCCAGAGGCCAGCACGGAGCTACCCATCCCAGCTGTGGAGTCGGAGCAATTCCCTTAACTTCTGCATACTTTGCTCAGGTTAGAATGAAATGGGAACAGTAAAGCTACCTTGTATGTTTCTCTCTTTCTTAAATTTAATGTTATTTTGTTTAAATTCAAGTAATTAACGTGTAATGTATTATTGGTTTCAGAGGTAAAGGTCTGTGATTCATCAGTCTTATATAACACCCAGTGCTCATTCCATCACGTGCCCTCCTTAATGCCCATCACCCAGTTACCCCATCCCCCCACCGACCTCCCCTCCAGCAGCCCTCAGTTTGTTTCCTAGAGTTAAGAGTCTGTTAAGGTTTGCCTCCCTCTCTGATTTCGTCTTGTTTCATTTTTTTCTCTCTTCCCCTATGCTCCCCTATTTTGCTTCTTGAATTCCACATATCAGTGAGATCATACAATAATTGCCTTTCTCTGATTGACTTATTTGGCTCAGCATAATACCCTCTAGTTCCATCTACGTCATTGCAAATGGCAAGATTTCATTTTTTTGATGACTGAGTGATATTCCATTGTGTATATACAGACCACGTCTTCTTTATCCGTTCATCTGTCGAGGGACATCTGGGCTCCTTCCACAGTTTGGTTATTGTGGACACTGCTGTTATGAACATTGGGGTGCAGGTGCCCTTTCTTTTCACTACATCTGTATCTTTGGGGTAAATACCCTGTAGTGGAATTGCTGGGTTGTTAAGGTAGCTCTATTTTTAACTTCTTGAGGAACTTCCACACTGTTTTTCAAAGTGGCTGTACCAGCTTGCGTTCCCACCATCTCATGTGCTTCCTGTCAAGATGAGAAGAACGTGTGAAGCCCCTACACAGAGAGGCTCACCATAAATAATCAGAATTATTGATACGGCTGAAAGGTTTATTAGGGATTTCCTTTGGGCGAGGCCCTCTCTGCAAGTGCCCACCCAGTTAACCTTCTGCTATCCAGTCCAATGGCTATTGTTCTTATCCTCACTTTGAAGAGGGAAATGGAAAGTCAGAGAGATTAATGAAATTCCCATAGTCATTGGAAGTCCCAGCTCAGAAGTGGTAGCAGCAAGTTCTGGAAGCCAGAGTATCTGACTCCTCGCACCTGTGGGGCTGAATTCGATCAGGGTGTCTCAGGAGCCAAACTGATTCTATGACCTGCTGCTCCCCCATCAGCCAACAGATTGATCTTCGCTGCCACCTTCAGCTGCCTTTCCATTTCCATCCTCTTCCTCGCCATCTTCTTCATCAACAGATGCACCCAGCATGGTGAGTTCAGGGAAGCACTGGTTTGTTTGCTTGTTTAATAAATAGGCTTCACACCCAGCATGGGGCCCAATGCAGGGCTTGAACTCATGGCCCAGAGATCAAGAGCCAGACACTTAACTGACTGAGCAACTCAGGCGCTCCAGGGAGCCCTGGTTTTAAACACTGGGGAAGGGGAATGAAGTGACGGATTTTCTCATTATACAAATCCCTCCCCATTTGTTGTTGTTGTTGTTGTTGTTTTGTAGGTTCGTCACATGGAGACCCCACCAAGAGGTAGATATACTTGACGAATCTTATGTCCCTCCCTTCTCCGGAACCATGTTTGCACTTCTGTGATTCCCATGCCTCTTCTCTCCAAAGCCCTGTCCTCTCCCTCAGTCTTCAGATCCCTAATGTGTTTCTGTTTCTTAGAACCAGCCATTCCGAATTTCCCAAGCAGGAGGCTACAGGTGAGTGGTAAGGGAAGAAACCACAAGGGAATCGTGGGATGGGAAGAGTAAGTCTCACTCCTACAATACGAGACCTGATTTTTTTTTCCTTTCACTCATATGCAGATTTATCCAACCTGGAGAGGATATCTCTCTCGGTGAGTTCTCCCCACGAGGTCACTTAGCACCCTCATAGGCTGACCCTGTCTGCCTCCTGGTTTAGCCCACATTCTGGTTACTTGGATGCCCTCAGTTCACACGACTGACAAGAGGCCAATTAACATTGTGTTTAAAAAGCATGTGCCTTGACCAAACTCATCAAAACAGAGGGTAGAATAGTGGTTACCAGGGGTGGGAGAACTGGGGAGATGTTGGCCAAAGGGTACAGATTTGCAACTAGTAGATAAGTCGTGGAGATGTGACCCACAACACCGTGATTATAGCTCACAATGCTGTATTATAAACCTCAGAGTTGCTAAGAGACTAGGTCTTAATTGTTCTCACTGCAAAAAAGAAATTGTAATTATGCAGCAGGATGGAGATGTTAGCTGACATCATGTTGCAATATATAAATGTATCAAATCAACCCATGGTCCCCCTTAACCACATACAATGTTATATGTTAGTTATAGCTCAATAATTCAACAAAGAAACACCTACGTTGTATCCCACAGTAGCTGGGTTCCAACTCCCCATGGCTACTATTTACTGCCAATATGGTCTGAGACAACTCGTGAAACCCCAGTGATTCGGACGCTTTATTCCCTCCCTTATCTAATGGGGATCAAAATCCCCCATGAAAAGGCCTGTGTGAATCCAGTGACACACTAAACATAAAGGGTTTGCTGGAATTTCTGGCAAGTTTTAAAACATCAGATGGATGGCATGAAAGCATTGATTAACAAATGTTAATCGATGTACATCAATCAATTTTTTCTATTTAAAAAACTGCTTACTTGTCCTTTAACTATCATTAACTAAGTCCTTAACATAAGTCCTTACTTGTCCTTTAACTATCATTAACTATCATTAGTTAACTATCCATTAACTATCATTACCTCTAAGAACAACTATCAGATGACATTTGTACATTTTTCCATAGGACACAGAGGTTCCTTGGTCCATTCTGTATGCCAAAGCACGTGAAAAGGGGCATTAGCAAAAGGTGCAAACTGTTCGCTGTTGTACTTGAAAAATATCTACGCCCATGTTGTTCATTGAGATACATATATATTTTTTAAAAGGTATAGAAAAACATAGTTCACAGGTTCACAAATGAACCATCAATGAGCAAATCTAGTCTATGTTAAATGTTAGGTAAATGACATTGATTAGCAACTTGTTGATAATAATCATATTATAATAACATGATATTATGGTGGGGTACCTCACCATACAATGAAATTCTATTCAACAACAACAACGACAAAAAGGGAAGAAACTAGTGAAAGATCCATGTGTTAAATGAATACACTGCAAAACCATTTAGCTAAATTATGAAAAGAGCCAGATACAGGAGACTGTCCATTGTCCCATTCCTGTAAACTCTCCCGAGGTAGTAATTCAATAACCGGCTGTGGCTAGAGCCAGGAGGGCGGGTATAACCACACAGGCACAAAGGGAATTTTTTTGGTAACGAATGTCCTAAAAGTTATTCTGGCAAGGGCTACCTCATTCCACAGATCCACTCACTAAAGGTCATCAAATGGCGCACCTCTGTTAGGCGAATTTCATGGTATATGAATTATATCTCAATAAAATTGTTTTTTAAATAGCGTGATATTAACACAACCAATAGATATTCTTACGGGATGGGAGTTCTTATTCTCAACCCCATACATTTGCAATGACTGTTCTTGGTACCAGTCATCATTAGTAGTGTTGTATGATTAAAACTAGAGTCAAAACCCTCATCCTCCCCAAGACCACAGCCGTTCCCGGAATGGGGCTGTCCAGTAGGACTTGCTGCAGTAATGGACGCGTCCTAGGGCTGTGTTATCGGATACAGCAGCCCCTGGCTACCTGTGGCTATTGTACACGCAAAATGCATCTGGTATGACTGAGGACCCGCGTTTCAAGTTAAATGTAATTTTAATTCACTTAAATGTCAGTCACCCTATGTGGCTTGTAGGTACCATATTGGACAGCTAAGCTCTAAAAGCCCATCTCTTTCCCCCAAAGACTGAAAGACCCCCCCAGGGAGGGAGCCATGCTGATCTCTACCTGAGGCAGTCTCTGTCCTCCGCCGAGGAGCCCCAAGATCTTGTGAATGTGCAGTGCGACAAGTAAAGGAGGACAGCCAGAGCCCTAGAAGAGGAGAACGTGCGTTAAGATGGTGGAATGACTGGTCTCATGGAAAACAGGTCACTTCACGTCCTTGGCTCATAATCCATAGTAATAAAATTAAAGTTCTGCTTTTTTGCTTCCATGACTCTCAAGAATTACTGGCTGGGTTTTCCCAAAATCTGGAGTGTGACTTTAGTATGGATTGACTTGAAACATGTCCTGTATCTACGGGCTGATGGTACTGTTCTAGCCACTTACAGGATTCTGGATGGCACCCCAAACAAATAGAAAGATTGTTCCCCAGAAAAGCCCATTGGTTGCTGTTGGGTGAGGCCGCCATAGACAGAGGGATTTTTGAAAAGGAGCGCAAGGTGGGCACCTGGGTGACTCAGTCTGTTAAGTGTCTGACTCTTGGTTTCAGCTCAGGTCACGATCTCAGGGTCCTGGGATTGAGCCCCACGTCAGAGCCCCACGCACAGAGTCTGCTTGAGATTCTCTCTCTCATGCTCTCTCTTGCTCTCTCTCAAATAAATTAATTAAATCTTAAAAAAAAAGAAAGAAAGAAAAGGAGCACAAGATACAAGCCACAAAGATGGACACTCAACGGTGAACTAACCAAAGCAACTGTAAGAGGCGTGCACCAGGGTAAGCCCCAAGCTGTGTTTGGTTCATGATCCTTCCAAGCAGTGCTGGGCAGCCCTCTAGTCCCAAAGCCAAGACCAGTTTTCTTGTTGACATGAACAGAAGCGCTTTCTCAGTGTTGTCATATTTCTGTTCTTATTATTTCTTTAAAACCAAAGGATGCAGGGCACCTGGGTGGCTCAGTGGGTTAAAGCCTCTGCCTTCATGAGCAATGGCTCAGGTCATGATCCCAGGGTCCTGGGCTCCAGCCCCGCATTGGGCTCTCTGCGCTGCAGGGAGCCTGCTTCTCCCCCTCTCTCTCTCTGCCTGCCTCTCTGCCTACTTGTGATCTCTGTCTGTCAAATAAATAAATAATTAATAAATAAATAAAATAAAACCAAAAGATGCAATGGAGCTAGACTTACCAAGTACGTGTGGATTTTGTCAGTTAGCACCCACCCATTAACTTATGTATTATGCCGCTGTAAGGACTTTTCTGAGCGTGGACCTTTTTCTGTGGCAGTGACTCGGAATGGCCAGCTGCATGCAAACACACGTAAGTGAACTCTGCTTCCGCTTACATCACCTGATCAGGATTGAAAGTCATTTTTTTTCATCTCTGAGTGAACAAAAGTGGAAGAATTTGGGATGCGCATATAAATATTCTTAACTCACAAGCACATGCTGGGCAACTTTCCTCTTTTTAGGTTTTTAATTATGAAATAATTCGACCATAAAGGAAAACACCAAACTACAGAAATGGAAATATGCACACTATACTTACTTTCTAGATGTTTTTTGCTATGTTTCATGACGCCCGCTCCCAATCTGTTTTCCTTCCTCTCTTCCCCAGAGGTGCCTTTATGCATGTTATTATATGTTATTCTTATCCATTTTCTCATACTTTTACTACACAGACATCTACTGATTGTCAGTATATGGCAATATTCTATGTGTTAACATATACACATATATGGGATCCTCTTGTATATTATAATTCTGTGACTTTTATTGTCCCCAGTATGATGCTGTTGGAAACCCAGGTGAATTCTGTGGGTCTAGCTCATAGACCCATACAGCTCATTGCCGGCCATACAGAAGTCAGCTGTTGGTCATACCATGGAATATTGCTCAACCCCAAAAGGAATAAAGCACCATGACTTGCCACTGAACATGAACGAACCTCGAAAACATTACACTCAGTCAAAGAGCCATTCACAAAAAGCTATGTACATGCTGTAGGAGTCCATTCCTGTGAGATGCCAGAAAAGGCAGACCCTCAGACATAGAGAGCAGACCGACTCATGCCTGCCAAAGGGCTGAGGGAAAGGAGAAAGTGGATGGGGTTTCTCTTTGGAGGTGACAGAAATATTGTGGAATTAGAAGCCGGTGATGGTTGCACATCCTTGTGAATACGCTTCTTTAAAAAATGCTGAATTGGATGCTTTAGAAGTGTAGATCGTACAGTATGTGAATTGTATCTCAATAAACCAAATTTGCACAAAGAACTAGTTGGCTGCACCAATCGTGGCTTCTCTTGAGTCCTTCCTCCACGACTAGATGTTTGGGCTGTTTCCGGGGCTTTGCTATCAGCAAAATGCTGCAATAGACGTCATGTCCACAAATGTGATCTCTTGGTGGCATATTTAGGAGTAAAACCTGTCTTTTGTGCTATCTACACCTTTAATCCCACTAGGAGAGCCAGATTGAGACCTAGTAGTTTTCCCTATTTTTACTTCCACCAGGGATGTATAAGTTCCCAGTTCCCCACGTCCTTGCCAATTCAGAAATATATTAAACCTGATAATTTTTGCTGATTAAAATAGATGAACTCATAACCCACTTTAAGCTGCCTATATAAAGGTATCTCATGGTTGTTTTAATTTGCATTTTCCTGAGTATGAGTGAGGCTTATTGACCATTTGGGGTTTCTTTTCTGTAAATTGATGATTTCTATCCATTGTCCACTTTTCTGTTGGTCTTTTCCTTTCTGATTTATATATGTATACCAGGCACATCTTTCCTTTGTAAGCTGTATGCTGCAAAGACCTCCTTGAAGCCTGTGACATATTTTCATCCCTTCTGTATCTTTTAATGTTAGCTATTCAAAGTAATTCATCTTTTA